TTACTCCCCGGAAAGGATAATAGCGCGTTCGTTCCCCACCATAGACACCTGCGGTCCAGAGTTTTGCAAATATCTCGGCAACGTTGTGGTTGTATTTCAATAGTGTTTTCTGAAAAATGAGGAAATTAGAAGAATCGAATAGAGCATTATTTTATGAAGAAGGATACCCCTTTTTCCATACAGTTCTAGAACAAACTCGTTTTTTCGAGATTTTTCCATACGAACTCGGCCACTTGTGTTTTTCACTGGTCAGATGTCTTACCTAACTCGGTACTTGGTTACTCATGGTTTTTGCTAATCGGTCTATAATTCAAAACTAGAACTGTTTCGCTCCGAAACGAATGCATGGACCGATGAGTGACAGTCTAACAAGGATGACTGACCGACATGTTCAACAATCATCTGTCTGTTGAAGCAAATATGGTAGGGGAATATACGGGAGAAATCGCTCAGATTCACGGCAAGCTGCTGGCCCTGAATATAATGGATCGATATGATGAGCTGGATCGATAAAGATCGATAGCATTTCGAGAAGTACACAAAGAGAACATGTCCGTATATCGAAAGGAAGACGTAGAAGTATGGACTCACCCTAATCCAATCAACTGACCAATACTCTCTCTGTACTCCACAGTTGCATAATAAGGATAAAGGATAAAGCTCTAAGCGTTGATTAATCCCTGAGGGATTCGCCATGCATTCGACTTCATTAGGTATCGTTGGAGGTGATTGAATGCATATCCGACCTCTACAATGACTCACGGTGGCCTACCGATGTATCGAGCCAGTGCCGCTATCCTCCTAGAAAAGTCTGGCACCAATTTGCCGACCCCGGAGGGACGGAAGGCTTGGTGAACCATGGGCGCTGGGATCGATTCCACGTGTGTGTCGCAGTGGCGTCTCCAACCACTCCGCCACACGCGCCCCAAAAATATAAAAAAGGAAAATACAGTTGCAAACGTTCATTAAAACTAACCAATACTTCGGAATTGTCCTCTTTGCTCCATGCTGTATTGGTTTTCAAACGTTTAACCAAATAAGAGTTTAAAATTGATTGAACGTAATCATCAAGAGTTGTTACGAGGTCTTTTGGAAAGAGAAAAACGACTAGAACACGTTCCGTAGTGGCCACTCCACGGCGCCCACCTGCTGCCTGGCGACGGCGCTGCTGAGGGCGCGAGTATCCCGCTTAAACTTGTGGGCGAGCCGCTTGCCGGGACGGTGTTCCTCGTCCGGCTCCACGCAGAACACCACGTGCTCCACCAGGCCACCTTTCCTCCTTTCTTGTGATCGCTCGACGAAGTTGATAACCACATTTATGTCGAACAACACATGTGCCGTTTGACGAACAAGTCCTAAACACAGTTCTAGTGAATTAAACCATTCTTGGCGTTCTTGAACTGTACACTCATTACCAAAAGTTTCTTTCTTCAGATAATCGGAACATCGCCAGGAAACTTTTCCTACCATGAACGCACATAAGGAAGCGACCTGATGTCGATTCTAGGCGAAACATTTTTCTTCAAATTCCTTCCTTTTCACGAGGAGTAACGCTGCGTGCCCAAGGTAAATCAATGTTGAATTGCGAAATTCTGCCTCTCACTTTCTGATAGCAGTGACATCAGGATTGAAAAACCTACTTAATTGGGTAACTGAATGGCCCGTCTTCACTGGTTGTGCGGGCGCCAGCATAAATTCCATTTTTTCGGAGTTTTGCTGATCTAGCCATTGCGGTTCCCTGGAGTCTCAAGGTCAGCCTAGCCAGTCTGCCCCAGGTCTTCATCACCATAGGCAGCCGCCGACCTTTGTGGATCAGGGGGTACTTGCGACCATGAGACTAGTTTCATGTCTGCCAGGGCGATGGTGGACCCTGGCACCGGTTATGGAAACGCCAGACTCTTTCCCAGCTTGGAGACCCTGCCAGAGAGATAAACCTCCGCTGTACATCGCAGCTCGACACCCATGAATACCTCTCAGCCACGATGACGCGGTAAACCGTTGGGAGGAGATTGAAAAACATTGTCAGAAATGGTGAGAAATTGGAGGAATGAAGGATAGAGCGAAATGGCTTGCAAATTCAGTTCTCTTACTCTTTCTCAAATTGAGTAGTTATTTCCCAACCAAATCTTGAGGGATGAAATTTTCTAATACGTTTGTTTAAGAAAACTTGGATTGCATTTTAAAATAGCATTCATGAGTAATCACATCCATTTTCATGCGCCTATTTGAGTCAATCTATTTTCGGCCAGGATATCGAATGCAGTGAAACATGAGTCGTCAAGATGATCCGTTTCATAGAGGAATTGAACGTTAAAAAGATATAAAAGTTGACTAGTAAGCTTTATTACCTTTGACGATTGGAAATAAGCCTTGTCTATGCGAGAAGTAGTGCAGACGCAGAGAGCCGTCGCCGACCGACTCGCACTGGAAAGTCGGTCCTCTCATCTCGGATTTGAAGGCGATTTGGTCGATGAAGTAGTGCATTGAGTTCAGACTGTCCAGAAATTCCTGCAGTAGTGCAGAAGGTTCCATCGAAGTTTCTATTGCATCGCTGCTATCCACTAGTCCCTATTCCATTCTGATTCAACTTGACACTGAGCTTTTCATACTTGATTCTGTCCTCCAGCGCATTTGCTGCACTCATGCACTCTATTTTAATGCCTTTCCACATCCACACAATACCTTATCAATCTAACCAAGTCAATATCGAAAATAAACTAAACGATTTTGGGTTTTGTAGTAAAGTTAATAAAATACTAAATAAAAGTATCTTTTAAAACATTCAACGCTAGTGGCACTATGTTTTGAGAATAAACTTGTGATAAACCTTCTCGCATTTCAAGCGCATCATCTAGACACCATTGGCAAAACTTACCACTTTCCGTCTTTCATATACTTACGGAGCACCACTTGCGAGCTTACTTACTTGGATATTTGGACAGCCGTCTTCACTAGTTGTGCGCTCCCCAGCATAATCTCCATTTTTCGGAGTTTTGCTGGTTTAGCTATTGCGTTTCACTGGAGTCCCGATGTCAGCCTAGCCAAAGTCTGCCTCAGGTCGTCACCATCACAGGTAGTCTCAGCCTTCGTGGATAAGAGCTAGATTTGCTACCATGCTACTAGTTTTATACCAGGACTGTGGTCGATCTTGCTATTGGCTTACACTTAACTAGGCATCCTGATAAAAAAGCCAGGCCACTTCTCAGCTTGGGAGATCGCACTGCTTTACATCGCACCCGACACCCAGGAACATCTCCTAGCCACGATGAGGCGGTGAACCGTTAGGAGGCCACTTGTTAACACTTGCTTTAAAAGCCGATACTACTCTGTTACTGAGTTCTCTGTCGCCTAAAAATAGCCGTGAAATACTTGAAAAAACTTTGAACACACCAGCACAGACATATCTGTCTGGCAAAATTTGCTTACGAATTTGTGCAGGTTGATTCTTTTGGATGGTGTATGTTCACGATTCGTACAAAGCACACCATATCTCTCATTCAATTGGAATTTTTGATTAAAGAATATTTACTTCGCTGGAGTTCTGATTTTATCATAGGAAGGACTAGCACCTTGCTAGGACATTTCCTCCAGAATGGTGAAAATTCCTAGCGTTCCTTAACTTTCGCATGTGATTCGGAGATATTGAGTTTTTTCTCAAGCTGGATGAACTAGCCACAGAATGAATGCCACCAGTGTACATCATAGTTCAACACAACAGTGCCCATTTCTTGGCGTGAAGTGTGCCAAGCCGTCCATACAGAACGAGGAATATGACATCTTAGAAGCATGACCCTTTTACGAACTATGGCGTTTTACAGACGGAATTTGAAAGCGCCTCTTTGGACACGTTAGCCGTCAAAACTCATTCAGTCACGACATCGGCTATTACGCAGGAAGTGCGACCGATAGGAAGACAGAATATTCATGCATATAGTACATAAGAATAAAATATTCATATCCTTTTGGATGAGTCGCACTGAACTTGGATCCAGCGATAATAACGCCTTTTTTAAACTGCAGCCGATTCGACCAACCTGCATTTGCGACGGTGCCTCTTTTCGTGGCTGGTCAAGTGGAATGGGAACAATTTTTCGTCGGCTGCTGACTATCTGATTTTTGGTAACAAAAAAATTTTTTATAACTAAAAAGTTTTAGCAGGTGTGAACATGATAGAATTGCAGAAAAGACTATGTTCCATGGGTGTAAATAATGTACATCCTACAATTGAAGATCTGTTACGGTGGTCCATCAGGAAAAACATTGTTGTCAGTGCTTGGAAGTATTTTGCTCCTATATTGAATCCACTTCAATGTTTTTTGTATAAGCACATTCCACACACTAACTAAGTTGACTAAAATGAAATAAGAGTTAACTGTCAGTCGAATTACCACCCAATGAACTTTCCGAAGAAAAATGTTGTAAGCGAGTAAATGTAGAGAATGGTCTTTCTGGTCTCACACTTCCTGCTTTGATCTGCTTTCAATTGGTTATCGAAGGAGTATAAGTAAAAAAGTTTTAGAACCCGTTGAACTGAAAATGGAGACAGTAATATCTACATTGCCCAGTTGGCCTGGAATGTATGAACACTTTAATGCCCATACCGCGGCAAGTTAGTTAATGTGATGAAATCTGGTTAATCACAATGACGACAATAAAGGGTTGAGCGCGAACCAAATGCGACCAAGTTACCAAGTTAAACACTTACTTTAAGACGCATACAAAGATGATGGGCCTCTTGTTTCTTCCGTATCCAATCGACTTACACATTTCGTATAGACGTTATCATAACTTTGTACATGTTCGTGGAAACTCTTACATCTATGCGGATTGTTTACCGCGCGCCAGCTTAGGCAAATTCGTGCAACGAATGTGTGGTAAATGAGAGCCTTCCAACTAGATGGTCCCACATCTAATGTAGAACAGCTCAACGAACTGTGAGTGTTAGACCCCACGATAGAACCTGGAAGTTTTCGTAGGTACCATCTTATCAAAAACAGCAGCAAATATAGGGATTAATAAAAGCATGCTGCCCTTCGTGTTCCGCGAGAGAGTGAAATGTCCCGAATGAAATTTTGATGTATTGGATGTCACACTTTAATAATAAGGTTAACTCAAAGGCGACAGAAAGCGTTTAAAAGAATGAGAAGTTCTCCGAAAAAAACTGGAAGTAGCTCACAAAAATGCAGCTTTGTGAAAGAAACAAAAACACGGGTAACATGGAAACATTGGATATCTGGACGCCCCTCCTTCACTAGTGGTGCGAACCTCGGCATATTCTCCGTCGTTCGGTGTCTGCTGGTTTAAGCCAATGTGTTTCTCTGGAGTCCCAAGGTGAGCCTTGCCAAAGCCTCCGCAAGGTCGTCACCACCACAAGCAGTCGTCATCCTTGTGGATCAAAGAGGGATTTGCTACTATGCGACTAGTTTGATACCAGGACGGTGGCAGATTCTGGTATTGGTTTACCCTTAGCTGGGCTTTCTGGTGGCAACGCCGGACTCCCTCTCAGTTTGAGAGACTCTGACAGAGAGATGAATACACCCCGCTTTACATTACTACCCGGCACACAGGAACACCTCTCAGCCACGACGAGGAGGTAAACCTTTTGGAGAACATGGTTAAAATGCTTACAGAACTAGAAACAACCTATTTAGAGATAATATCTTTAACGCTAGCAGTTGCGTCGACTAAGCGCTTGTCTTCCCATTTATCAACTTTGCAACTCCTTTTAGAAACTTGAAAGATGTTCTGTTCGACTATGAACAATTTTTAATAACATGGCATGGCGTGGCGCGTGTGGGGCAGTGATCGAAGGCGTCCTGCAATACAAATGATATCGATTCTCGCGCCCCCGGCCCACCAAGCCTTCCATCTCACCGAGGTCGGCAAATTGCTACCAAACTTGTCTGGGGTATAGTAGCACTAGATCGATGCATCGATAGGCCACTACGAGTAAAGGCCAGATTTGCATTCAATCACCTCCAAGCGATGCTAATTGAAGTCAGGCAAAGTACATGGCGTATCCTTAAGAGATAGATCAACGTCGAGACCTTTATCCTTTTATCCTTTCTTTAACATGAAATGTTCCAAGCGTTCTTCGCACCCCTATCACTGTTGAGATCTGAAGGGAAAGAAAATTTCTCAGTAAATTTTAGAGTAACATTTTAACTACTGGAATCCATTGTTGCATCGATCGTCAGATATTTTCTATTTCAACATCAGAACTGACCTTTTAATACTTTCAAGATATAGTCAGTTAGTGGCAGAACGGAACGTTTTACATCCTAATCGAATACCTTAAAACTTAAATCTTTCGTCCTTATAAGGTATTGCATGAGCCACAGCTTATCTTCCATTTGACCGACGTTTCGTTAATTCGGCGTGCTGTTTTCCTGCAGCATTAGGGTACTCTTTTTCAAGGCTTTTACAGGTGACCTCCGCTCATATGGCCACCGACTGTAACAGATCGCATGGGAGTCTGCCAGTTTGCGATGAAAAATAGACGACTGAATCGACTTCCCTCTCATACGATATCCACATTGCTCTTCTTTCACACAAAGACATAATATTTTTACATAGTTCTCCCCTCTCCCTCCCTCTCTAGTTCTCCTCTCTCTCCCTCCCTCCCTCTCTCTTTCTCTTTTTCCCTCCCTCCCTCTCCCTCAGCTCTGCTTCCCAGCCCTTTTTATAACACGAAAACCTTTTCAACAATAAGTCGCTGAACTACCTGAAGGTTGTTCGCCATGCAAAACAACATTTTTTCCCAGCCAGTTTCGCAGGCATATGTGATTAGAAATTCGCCGTACATCTCCCACATATCATCCACAGAAATCCCTACAAGATTTAGTTCCGATTAGATAATTTAATGTCGCAATTTGTTGGTCCGTATAATTTGAAGGTTTTGGATCGATTTAGTTCCACTTCAGTAACGATGAATTTCAAGCACAAGCTTTCTACTCAATGATCTTCTCAACTTTGAAACTTCACAAAATTTGATTCTTAGCCTGAGTCTGGGTGCACTTCAACCGGCAACCTCATCCATTGTAATTGGGGCAGAAAAATTCTAGTATTAAGGCTTCCACAGTTTTCTTCTTTTTAGAAGTCTGTCGCTGAAGTGATCTATTACTAAATTCATTATGTTACTGAGATGTTTTGAAAACTTAAATCTCATGCCAGATCGAACCTCGATTACCCTTTCCAGGAGCTCATGTGTTACTCACAGCACCACTGAGGCCACTGCCTTTCCCTTACTCCTGCTAATTTCTCTACCTAACTGTGCCATCGGCAATCGCCCGTCAAATAATCTGGGGAGAACAAGTCGGCATTGAACAAAGTTGAGCTGAGACTGTGCTTGAAATCACAATGTTTAACCCTTTTCCTCACTACCTATTATTATCTTTCACGGCAGCGTATGACGCAAAATACAACCATTGTGATGCAAAGATAGGTACAAAACTGGCTAAGAGGAAATCAAAGCAAGGGTCTCACTTGTGCTGTGCCAATAAGTTCCCGGAAAGGGTGATCGCTATTCAAGTGGCTTAGGAATCAAGTTTTGCGGATATCCCTGCATTATAGTGGTTGCGTTTCGCATCATATTCTGCCGTGAAAAATGATAACAGGGAGTAAGTAAAAAGTTAAACACTACTACATTATAAAATTTAACAACAAAATGTTAATCAATGATGAGCAGCGACCCCCATCATCTGGCTTTCAATTGTTATCGCTCTACTACTAACCTAGAATGTCTGCCGCACTTCTGAAGATTCGCATTGTATCCGTGTCGTCGTAATATGTCTGTACGTCAATCTCGGCATCTGGAGCGAGACCGGCCTTCTGCCTGGAGGATCAGGATTCTTTTTACTGTGACTTTAATACCATCAAGTTTTAAAAGATGCAGGTCAAATTTCTTCTTTCGTCATTTGAGTTTATTGCTTATTTACAAGACTGCTTGAGACAAATGCAGAGCTTGGTAAACCACCATTTTTGCAGCCAGAAATGTCAATGCGGTGTTTAACCTTTCGTGGACTACGAATCATTCCAGCAGTTTTCGACGGAGGTTTACCTTGGATGAAATTGCTGAAGTCTCCATTTGCATGAGCAAAAGTTTTCTTATATTATATTGTGCTAAACGGTTAAACGCAGTCGAGTACTATGCAGTTTTTCGTCGTAGAAACGCATTCTACTTTTCCTATAACGAATAAAGTATACGGTACAGTTCGAAAAAAATCAATATTTTACATACTACAATCCAAAGAAATATTGAGACCAGTTAGCCCTTTTTATGAACCCACTGTGATTCTCTGCTTGTTATTTCGAGCGAGTGGGGGTATTTCTGCAAGGAGGATACCACGATTTCTCTCGCGTGCAAATAAAAATAAATGGTTCGCAGCGATTCTTTTCCTAGTAGGGTTTGAGTGACCGGGACGGATATTGTGAAAGCTTGCGGTGCATAATGACGCTGCTATTAGAGGTAGAGTGGATCTCAAGGGTCTGATATGATAGGCAGTTCGTGCCACCGAAAATTAGACTTAGTGCTGTGCCGCGGTTCTCGAAAATTAGGTGTGGTGATGAAAGCGTCGATAGGCACACTTGCGCATTGATAACATAGGGCTTCCGCAAAATGCACTCCTTCCACCCCCGACTGGCGTTAATTTTCTTTCCAACTGATACTTTTTTGTACAATGCGATAAATGTCTTACATGATTTTTTGCCAAACATCGATGCCATAGCGCCGAGTGATGAGGGCGCTGATGCACACGTGCGTCCATCCTATCTGAAACTCCACAGCTTAAAAGAGATAAATGTCTCATTACCATTCCCTCTAAGCGGTTAATACGCATTGATTGCAATTGTTTGAAATCAACTTTCGTGGGGATGGACATAGAGCTATCAACAGAAAGTCAGGCTGTACCCTATTAATAGTCAGGACGAAACCAACTACACTATGATTTCGTGAAAAAGGCAGTACTGGGTTTATTACGTAAGTATTTGAAATAGTGAAGGAATCCACATCAGACTGCTGTAAAAGTCCTTTTATTTTTCGATGTCTTGTAATCAAAGGCTTTCTAATGCCTCAAGCTACTCGGAAAAGTCCACAAAGCTAGCAAACTGGGGAGCCGCGTAACTTCATTCATGTATGAAATTCGAGAGGAAACCACTTGTTGATTTCTGAATCACGCTACATCTAGAACACCTAAAAATTAAGGTTGAATAAATGGTAATTTTGGTACAGGTGTCTCAAACATGGAAAGGTAAATAGTTGAGAGTCCTACTAAATTTGAAGAAGATCAGGAAGAATCCAAGGCTTCAGTTGTAGGATTGTACTGTCAGCAGTATGACAGTGACTGCTTTAATGGCAAATAAACTGTGAGGCAGCTGAAGTCAGCATTAGCCGATAAACCGACGATCGCTACTTACCATATTGCGTGTACTGTCGGATTTTACAGCTCAGTATGACCAGTTGATGTTAGGTGTGCGTGTGGAGACCCGGCAAGCGATCGAATGATGAGGTAATGAAGGAACGCCACGCTAGTGCATGAATATTCATTATCAGAGACCATCCCGTCGCTATCAACACCGACGATCATGTCTCTTATATGAGCAGCTGGTTCATATCTGAAAGTGCCGCCAACAATTTATTACCAGGGTATCTCTTATAAGTTTTTGGGACTGTTAAAATTAAACATCAATATCTATATATGTTCTTGCGAACTGCCCTTGATGAGCTGATTCGAGTTTGGTGTAAGTAGATGTATTTTTCAGAGCCTAGGCGTTTTTCTAAAATATCTATAGTATTAATGAAGATCTAACATATATGGGAGCCACTTTTCCAAAAAACTACTCTATGCTTTTACGTATGGGACCACCAGCACGTTGTTCATATGGGTGGGAGCCACTCACGTCAAAAAATCATTTTGAGATGAGACGCCATATCAGGTGTGATAGTGAGCCATTCATTTATCCGGTTCATCATTGGACATCCGAAATACGTCCAAAACGCTTCGAAAGTCGTGTACGTTGATGTTTTTGATTCCTTCACTAGAATCCAGACAATCACTTCAGAATTATCATCGTTGTGCTGTTGTGCTCTCTGTATACCTAAAGGAGTACTTGTAGAACTTTAAGTCCACCATTTTCTTCCATGCGGTCACATAAGGGTCCAACCGTTTCGTCAATATATTTTTCACCGCGTCCTTTACATGATGTCAAGCATATTGCACCTGAACTCATGCAATCCCTGTTTTCCCCGTTAGGACAGATCATACAATTTGCTGAGCAGCAAAATCGATCATAGAGGCAATTTGGACTAATTGATGGCGCAGGATGTTGGGTGGGAGGTCAATAACTACCACGGAGTTTCCAAGATTTTCTCTTGGGCACCTCTTAATGGTGTAACTTATTTCGTCTGATATGAAAGGTAGCTTGAAACGAATCTTAGTCAGCTTTGAAACATTATTTTGGAAAATAACTCTACCATTTGGTCTGACCCAAGCAGCTTCTGCTTCGTAGCTATTGGCAACGACTATTTTTCGTGCCAAATTCAGCGATTCCACCCTTTCCTCCTTCCCTGTGCGCACATTTTTAGCCGATCGGTGTTTGTTTTTGATGAGCGCTTTTTCCATGTGTGAAGAATGAGAGGAGAGGTAGTGAACTAGAATGTTTTTACTACTTGGCTTGCGATACCATTTTGTTTTATAGCCACTTACTGAGAGCTTTACTTGGATGTTTAAGAATGGAAGCCAGTTCTCGGTGGGTTTTTCCGGTGTAAATTTTACGTATTCCGACTGTCTATCTAACAAACAAAAGCACTTATCCATCTGTTCTTGTGTGGAACAGACGATGAAGCAGTCGCCTATGCATCGACACTAGAGTAAGGGTCAGCGATCGAGAACTGAAGCTTCCATCTTAGACATGAAAGCGATGGCAAGGCTTGGCGCTAATCGCTGACCCATGACCAACCCTTTAATTTGCTCAAAATATTTTCCCGACTATCTAAAGTTTGAACAACTAAGGCACTGTTTCAAGAGAGCCGCTTATAGTTCAATCGATGAGCCACAAATACTTATTTTTCTTTGATTCTCTGTGATTACCTCTGCAATGGTCCGTAGTACTGCGGAGTTATTCGACATATTAGTATGAAGTGAAGCAACATTGAGTGACTACATTAGACGCGTGGTTTGGTTGCGCGCACCTTAAGTGATCTAGGAATATTACGCTACTGGGCAGATGTGTTGGTGTGGACTTCGGCAGCTGAATTAAGATAAGGTTTAAGAACAATTTTATTCTATTCGTTTGCCTGCCTATAGAAATGATGATTGGCCTGATCTTAAGCGATGACGGATTTATGGAGTAAAGGTAATTAGTAGAGGTAAGTTTATATGCCTTAATAAGCAAGTACAGAACAGAACAAGTTAGACGATCAGTTTTTGCTAAGAAATAGCTAAGGACCTAAAGCCGCTGCCATTGCGGTGCTGAACTAGTCTCTATTCAGTTTTCGGGTTCGATATTTCTCCTTTTCAGAGAATGGCCGATAGATAGAAACATCATGGATTGTTTTTCTGTTATTCTAACACCCAGCTGACTAGGAGTGACTGTAAATTTTCCTCCTTTACCACTAATAGGTAGTAGTGCTAGAAAAAACACATTCTATTGTATAGAATATAGATTAGATTTTAGATCAGATAGATTTAGACTTTTTAAGCCCTCTTGCCTGGCGCATACCACATTTTTGCTAGTGTGTAAGGTTGGAGCTTAATTTTTTATGTCGGTAGTGGCTAAGCATCTAGAGAACTTTCTCCGAAAATAGACGAAATACAGGTTTAATTTCGCTATTTACTTGTTCTCGTCTAAAGAAGGCTCGGCGGAAAGCCGTGTAACGCAGGTGATCTTGAAGTCCACGTACACTGCACGTGACCCTGCGCAAGATTGTTTTAGAAATGGGTTGACTACATAAAAAACTAGGACTCATTTCTAACAATTACAGAGCATTTTCCAGAAGCGCTATATATCTTGACACAATAACCCTAGATGATTTTGGTACCCATTTTACGTCAGAGTTGCTACTTAAACGTGACCAACGCTGGTTCTTCGCTTTGATTTTTGTCGGCTTGATAGATCTCCAAACTTTCTTCATAACTTGTTTTTAAGATTAAATATGGCATAAACATCAATACATCAATATCTTCGACAGTTTTATAGTTCTCACGCGCCCTGCGTATTCTCGTTATTCGGCAGGGTTTTGAAATGTGCGAGAAAATCGTTGTCGTCACCCGCCGTTCCCTAAGATATCGAATAATTCAAACTTCTTATAGTGAAGTTTTCATCTGTCTTTTTTTGCCAAGGAAAATCAGCCTTCGGTGCTTCTTGTCTCGAAGACACGAATGTCCTCACGTTTTTGCGATGATACCGTTTATTTTGGCTTGTTAGGAGGTGGAAGCAGTTATTCCAGCACTCAGCTAGAATGTCTGTTGGGAGAGGTGATTCCTCGCTGAAAATTACAGTTTAGCACGCTAAACTGCCATTATCCACGATAAGACGATAATTGCCCAGGAAGGCAAAGCAACAGAAAAGATAAATAGTCAAGTGAGCAATCAAGAGATGTGATCTTAACTATTTAAATTTTTATTTGCTGCCTATTACTTTTCCATGGTAGGCTATTCTACTAAATACAACCAGAAAAATGCCGAGATATTCGCAATAGTTCGATCCCACGTCAAATCCGATCTTGTCATTATCCTTTCCGCGGATTCACATTTTGTCCACTGTACCACCGAGGCCATTGCGTTGCTTTTCTCCCTGCCAGCTCTTTGCTACAATTGTGCCATCTCCAATCACTTTCAACGGGAATCATCCTAACTATTTACCACTTTATCGTTGCATTAATTCTCGTAGATAGCAGTAAAGAGCGATATGTCTCATCTACCTACCCATTTTTATGCCAGGCACGGCAAAAGTCGATTCTTTTCAGTAACGATACCCGAGTTATCACCAGGCATCCGTATCACTTGTATTCCCGTTGATCGTCGAGTGACTCGAGCTGATGCCAGCAAATCTTCCATTTTTTCCTGCCGCGTGTGAGAGTACCTCTGTGAGCTCTCCTCAGCCAAGGTACTCATCGAGCATCATATCTTTCTTTAAGGCCTTCGTGAACAACTCTGACCATTGGGTCATGGTCTTCCTACAGTGCGTTTGACATCCTGAGGAATCCAGTCACTAATCGCTCATGTCCATTGGTTGTGGTTCATACATATTACGGGTCCCGTCCATCTTATCTACGACCGTATGGTGCATGGAAAAGCATCCTCGATATTTGACTTACTTGTGGGACTCGGAATACTTCTAGCATCATCCTTTCGACTGCGCGTTCAATAACTCTGAGTGGTTTTTCATCCTGCTCAAGCAGCGACCAGGTTTCTCACGCATGCGTTAAAGCACAAAGTACCTTGGAGTCGGAAAGGTGGGCACGGAGTTGGGCGTTCTTTGTCCTCTTCACTATATCCTCGATGCTCTTGAGAGCTCCCCAAGCAGCTCGTTTCCTTCTGCTCAACTCTGGCGCTAAGTCGTTCAACATATTGATTTCCCGACCTAGATAGACATAACTGGAACATTCGGATATATGGAATAACGTTCCGTTGAGCGTGAACGGGGCATGCGAAACCAATCCGTTCTTCATGAACATCGTTTTTGAGAGATTTAGCCGAAGACCAGTCTTTCCACAGGCTTTTTCAAAGTCGTCAAGCATACGTTCCACTTGACTAGTGTTTGGTGTCATAAGGA